GAGGAGGTGGCGGAGGAGGCAGGTCATCCATGGGTGGAGGTGGGAAGGAGGATTGTGGGAACTGAGGAGGAGGAGGAAACTTGTTGACTTTGGTTGCGCTGGGAGGAGCAGGAGGAGGAGGAGGCATCATGGGGTCAGGTGGTGGAGGAGGCAGGGTTTCCATTGATAGCGGAGGTGGTGGAAAAGATGTTTGGTTGCTAGAACCCTTCAAAAACAAACCAAAAATAACATTCAGATGAACTCCAAAAAAAAAAAAAAAATCATGACATTACAAGAAGATTAAAACAGCTCTCAAGGAAGAATATATAGCCTCGTGAAAAAGCAGTGTGCTTAATTGTATTGAATGTGCACTTGCAGTGTGCTTCAAATCTTACAAATATGTTTTATCTGTACTTGCAGAAAATATAATTTTAATGAAATAAAAAGTCACTTAAGAGTACTTAAAGTACTTTCATTTCATCACTGTTTCTTAACACACTTAAGTATACTTAAAAAGTGCACTTTGTGAAAATGTCAAATTAAGTTTTACTTAAAAGTATGTTTTAATCATATTTTAATCCATTGAAGAGCTTAAAATAAGTATACTTATTTTATTTTGTTGACTAACATACTAAAGCACTTGATTCAATCTTAACTGTAGTGTTAATATATTTTGAATGTACTACTATATTGCAACTGCATTACAAATGTGTAATTACATATACCGGTATATTTAAATACATGACATACAAGTTTCAGCATAAAGTATATGTTTCTTTACCATATTTTAAAGACAATAGAAATAAAATGACACTAAACTCAAGTCCCACTTAAGTGCATCAAATTAAGCAATCTAAAGTTCAGCTAATTGCTAATTGCATTTAATATAAATTGAAACTATAATACAATTTTATTTAATTGCAATTAATATGCAAAACATTATGTGCAGTTCACACATTTCTTTAAAGCATGATATATTTGTATTAAGTACTTTAAAAGTATGTTAAATTGTAATTCTTTTTCACCAGGCTATATTAGATTTTCTGAAGAACAGTGCACAGACTGCCCATGCAAAAGTTGTTGCTAGGGTCTTGTGGGTGGTTGCGGGTGCGATGTTACAATATGTGGTTGAAAGAATGTTATAGGTGGCTGCTAAGATGATTTTAGATGTTTGGTAGGGTGTTCTATGTGGCTTTCATGAGTTGCTCTGCAACTTCTAAATTGTTCCGGATGTTTACTAGAACATTTATAGGTGGTTGCTGTGGCTTTTTACATATTGTTTTGTGGTAGCAAGGGTGTTCCTGGTGGTTGCTATGCAGTTTCTATGGTGTACTGAATCGTTGAAATGGTGTTGCAAGATCATTTCTAGGACTTGGTGGCTGCAGCAGTGATCTTGTTTGTTTTAATTTGTTGCTATATGGATGCCAGGCCATTGCAATGTGGTGGCTACAGTGTTATGGGTTTTATTAACTTTTTTTTGGCAGGTGAAAAAATGTATTTGATTACAGGCCACGTAATTTGTGGTATCAATCATGTCCGTTGCAGGACAAAAAAAAAAAAAACTTGTTACAGTGCATGTTGTTTTACTACTAAGTGTTTGGGCGTTGTTCAAATCCCTCACCTTAATGTATGAACTTGCTTTAGAAAAAAACACTAATAAGGTAAAGCACATTATTTTTAACCATGTTCTCCATTACTAAGACAGCTGATTGATTGAGATGTACCTTGGTCTCCACTGCAGGCTGAGGAGCGTGTCCATTTGCAGCTCTGGCTGAAAGATAAGCACAAACTTTACCAAATGTCCTCAAAATCATTTAACATGTTAATATAGCAAGATCCATAATGCATTTTATGATGATCTATTGATCTATTGAGCCTCTACCTTTAGGTGTAGGGGAGGGTGACGATGCGCTGGAGGAGGCCTGGAGACTGCGGTTAGCCCAGGTTGCAGAGCCTGCAGCCTTCCTCACAGCAGCCTTGTAGTTGTCATATAACTGCTTACCATACTATGAAGGAAATCATGACAAAACAAGACCATTAATAAGAACTTAAAGGTCTTAGAGAAGTTGTTCTGTTCACCTTGGTGAATTTTCTTCATCTGCTGCCCCTCTTTTTTGTGGAGTCCCCCAAGGGTCAATATTGGGCCCTATGTTGTTTTCTTTGTATATGCTGCCCTTGGGGTATATTTTTAGAAAGCACAATATCTCCTTCCACTGTTATGCGGATGATGTACACATTTATTTGCCTGTCAAAACAAATTACAAAACTTAATTTCTGTCATTAATAAATTGCCTGAGAGATTTAAAAATATGGCTGGATCAGAACTTTCTTTGTCTTAATGAAAATAAGACTGAGATTGTTGTGTTTGGTCGTCCTGGGGATTTAAGTGCTTGTGTAGATGCACTTGGTAATTTAGGTTTGTATGTTCATCCATTTACCAAGAATCTCGGTGTGATTTTTGATAGTGATTTTAAATTTGAAAAACAGATTAGTTCTGTTGTAAAAGCCAGTTTCTTTCAACTAAGACTGTTGGCTAAAGTCAAGCCCTACCTGCCACATAAGGAGTTTGAAAGTGTAATTCATGCTTTTATAACATCTAGACTAGACTACTGTAACTCTTTTTATGTTGGTTTGGATCAGTCATCGCTTCGCCGTTTACAGTTAGTCCAAAATGCAGCAGCTCGGCTTCTAACTGGGACTAAAAAGTATGAGCACATTACCCTGCTTAGCTTCACTACACTGGCTTTCTGGCCGCTTCAGGATTGATTTCAAGATTTGATTGTTTGTTTTTAAGATTTTAAATTGGTTGGCGCCTGCTTATTTATCAGAGCTTTTACATGTCCACACTCCTGTTAAAGCGCTGAGGTCGCCCAATCAGGTGCCCCTCGATGTTCCGAGAGCCAGGTTAAAAAATAAAGGTGACCGAGCTTTTTCCGTGGTGGCTTTTTTTTTTTACTGTATTTGTCTTGTTTGTGTGTGCGTTTTTTCCGGACATTGTTAAGCACTTTGGTCAACCATGTTTGTTTTTAAATGTGCTATATAAATAAAATTGAACTGAGCTGAACTTAGAGGGTTCACCAAAAAATTTATATTTTGTCATCTTTACTCACCTTCAAGTTGTTCCAAACCTGTATGACTTTCTTTCTTCTGTTGACCACAAAATAATATATTTTGAATAATGTTGGAAACCAAACAGATGCTCATAGCCATTTTTGTCATACCATGGAAGTCAATGGGTACCAGCAACTGTTTGGTTACCAACATTCTTCTAAATATATTATTTTGTGTTCAAGAAACTCAGAAACTCAGTCGGAACGGTTTTGGAACTCTTTGAGTGCGAGTAAACGATGACAACATTTGAGTTTTTGGTTGAACTATACCTTTAATACTTAAGGCAAATTAGACAGCTCACAATAGGACCGAACACAACACAGCTACAGTTTACAGTGTACATATTTGCATTGTAAACTACAATTTCTAATGCTAATGCTTCATGTCTTCTTTGCATTTATCAGTATCTACTTTAGACATATTTTGGCAAAAAAAAAAAAAAGAAAGTATGCTGTCTTTTGGAATAAAAGACAGCATCACGCTCACCTTTGCAATACGTATCCCAGTCACCCACAGAGTCATGGTCCGCTCATCATCACAACACAGATACTTGATGTATTGTGATTCTTTTTGAATCTGAGGATGCTGAAAAACAGATCACAGAAAAAAAAAATAAAAAATCAACCACTATGTTCATTGATATAAACATCTGAGAAGTCCAAGATACCTAGTAACACTTCATTTGGTTTTATTCATTATTACATTATTTATTACATTATATTGCATGTAATTCACTGATGATCTTTGGAACCACTTAGTATTTTTTGGTCTAGTCTCATTGTAAATTTTTCCTGAAAATGCTTTGTTGTTTTTGTTTTTCTCTTAGGTTGGGTTACAACAAAGTTAGTTCATGTTTTGCTCATATTAGTCTTTCTCCAAATACACAGTTGGCAATATAATCATTATGTGTTGCTTACAGATGTTATTGAGCTGCAGTTTCAAAGCAAAGACAGCAGATGGAACCCTAAAATCACAATCTTCATTGCCAGCTCCACTCTAATGCAACACTTTATCATTATTGCTGAAAGGGACTGAAACAATGTGCTTCGTTATGTGGAATTATTTTATAAATTGTGCAAAAATGCATGTCCTTTTTCTATTGAAACGTAGTCTGAGTTACTAGGTTTATCTTTAAATCTACTTAATGTATTGCATTTTATTTCTCAGTTGCTTGACTAACATAAAACACAGATGATCCTAAATTAGACAAAGCCTGAAACACCCTTGGAAAGTATTATTTCTTAGCAACAGTTTAGGATGTCAGTGGACCTGGTTTTGTTATAATCATATATTATGTAAGGTATTTTGTCTCCTGTGGATTAATGTTGCTAAAATAGCTTTTTTTATTCAATAGTGAAGTTATTATTACTGTGTACAGCAAGGATCTTTAGCCAGTAATATTCTTTCCATGCCTCATTTTAAATTAGTAGAACAATAACCCAGTATTCACACTTTCACCACTTATACATATTCTTAGGAGAACTACAAAAAATGTAACAGTGTAGACTGAAGAAAAAAAAAAAGGTTTGAGGTATTTTGAATTGTCTGCAAAAACTTCAATTACAGACAGGCTCTGAAAACTGCATGGTCTAAACACACACACACACACACACACACACACACACACACAAAGTTTTGAACTTTCACTACTTGTGGTAGTCTATAGTGTACTGCTTGTGGTAGTCGACCATAGACCAGGTGTATTCAATTACAGTTCCAAGAGGTCCAATCTTTTTATATTTCCTTTCCAGTGGATGTCTGGACAATATATATATATATACACACACACACACACACACACACACACACACACACGCAAAAAGGACCTAAACAGACAAAAAATAGTCAGGCTATTGGATCCTCAGAGTCAAAGGCCAGTGGCTTCTGAGAATTTTTCTATATATAAAAATAAAAAGTCATCAGTTGAGTTCAGTTAGATATTAATATTAAAATATAATATCAGATGTTTTATCAAGCTATTATTATTTTTTATGTTTAGATACATATATAAGGCAGAAGGCAATGTGACAGAAAAGATACTGTATGTAGGTTCAGAGTTTTCCTCTTGAAGTCTGAAAGATTTTGGTAACACTTCATTTTAGAGTCTCTTAACTAGTTGCTTATTAGCATGCATATTAGTCTATTAGCCACTTGTTAGTACTAATTATGCACATATTAATGCCTTATTCTACATGACCTTCTAAAGTGTTACCAATATTTTTATATTTTGCTTAAAACAAACATAATCAAAACAGTCTCATCATTAGCAGAAAACAAAGTTAACAAGTAATTTCAATGTTTATGTTGTATTTCCTTATAAAAAAGGGTCAGGGCTCCCACTCTTTCATGAACACCAGATTCAAGGACTTTCAAGGACTTTTTAAAGCACCATTTATTTTATATCAAGCACCTATTAAATTCACACCCCAGCATATGTAGTGTAATGAAAGACCTTACATTACTTAACAGTTCACTTACACTTAACATTTACATTAAAAATTTCAGAGTAATAATGTTTTGAATGTGTAGGTTTCATAAATTGAGACCGTTTTGAGCAGTTGTGTTCAAAGGAATTTAATGAAATCCATTGAAGTCAGTACTGGTGATATTCAAATACAATTTCTACAATATTGATAAAATATGCATCAAACTGGTTTTTGCTGTAGTTCTTGTACAAGATTTAAATTTGAAAGAATTTCTCAATTTTTAAATTAATAAAAAGTGGTTAAATGTTGTAATAACACGGTAAAAACCTGTTAACATTAACAATTTGCACATTCACTCAAAAGAGACATTACTCATTAATAAATTATTTTTTATTAATTTTTTCCCATTTTTTCATCTTTGACCTAGAGGAGTGCAGCTGATCAAACATGCAGCTGCTCAAATGTCAATATTTTTTGAAAATATTTCATGAATATTTTAAACCTTGTACATGTGCAAATCTGTCAAATCACAAAATAAAAAAAATAGGACTTTCTATTTGCTTTAAAACTGTAAACGCTTTTCACTAAGCTGTTTTTCCAATTTTTCAAGTTCTACGTTTTCTCCTTAGCTCCATGTTGCAGTAAGTTTTGGGAGTTCATTTTTAGTCCATCTCCTATCCTGAAAAGTCTGTCTTGCAGAGACTGACAAAAATGAGCTCCTAAAACTTACTGCCAGATTCTGGAAGATCAATTATTCAGTGGTACAAGAGGATGTGGTGCTGGTCCTTCAAGAGTCACTCTCAACTTATCTGTTCATAAAGCCTATAAAAATAGTATTCATGTATTTCACAACACTTCAAAATGTTATTCTTATTAAGTAGGGATCATTTTTTAGGATTTTTTACCCAAAGCAAGGGTAATTTAATAATTATTAAAAGCTGTCACTCTCCTTATCGCGATCTGTGGGTGCACAGAAAATGAGAGCGCGCGAGTGAGTTCTCAAGACTCAAAAGCATGTGCAAATGATACGTTCCGTCATCTGTCATCGTGTTATAAGCGCGGAACCTGCGGGAATGAGTAGAATTATTATTAATAGCCACAATCCCGCGCCGAAATTCAAGTCCTGCTCTGTGTTCTCTGCTAATAACCCGACTGTGAATGATGCGAGCGGCGTTATGTTGTCACCAAGAAGCTGCAGCTATGGCGGGGTGATTTTTGGTGTGCCGGCAGAACAACAACAATGCGCTACATGTTTCTTTTCCCCTAATTTTTTCCAATTGCCGGAAATCCGTCGTAGCGATGGAAAACTTTAATCCCTCTAATACACAATATTAGATTGTTTGCGGGAGTGGGCGGTAATGGTCATAAATTCAGCGGGAGCGGGCTTAAGAAAACTGTCCCACACAGGTCTCTAGGCTGCGCATCAACAAACACGTTTTTTTGTTTTTTTTCGTGCTACCCCATCTCCAGCCCCAGTCATTAGTGCTGTTTCGTTCTGTCTGACAGAACATATAGGACAATTTTTGAAATAGCGCCATAAACAAAATGTATTTCAAATTTAATTCAAGCACTTTCAAGGACCTATGTTTGTTTTCAAGTACTTTCCAGGCCTTGAATCCATATGTCTGAAATTCAAGTACTTTCAAGTACTTTCAAGAAGCGTGGGAACCCTGAAGGTCTTTGACGGAAACGTTGCCAACTTGCCACTTTTAACTTTTTCTATGTTTATTTAAAAATGCTCTTAACATACTGATTAATAATGCTAAATGTAGATGAAAAAATGTCTTGTCACAAACCTGGTATGAAGGGTCAGAGTCATATATGTATGTATGATAGGTAAAAATAACTATATTTGCAGCATTGTTGTTTTCTGCAGTGTTTTAGCAATAGTATCAATCTATTTTGCTGCTCACTGTGTTTCTACATCTGTTTTTAAAATAACCGCGTCCGCAGCCCTTAATGGCTCTTTAGCGTCTTTATAGAGAAGCAACACAGACGGGAAGGGATTGAATGAAGCGCATTTGGCTCTAGATAAAATAATATTAAAGGATATAACGGTGAAATATCATTACAATAAATGACCCTGAGCACTCGTGGTGTGAACAGCTCTGTTGTTTTTAAGTGCTGCTCACTTTATTTAGAAATTGAAAAAAATGGTGCTGCCGTTGCCATTATGTCTCGTGGTCTGGTTGGAACCAAACCGAGGTCCGGACCCAGACCATGGTCTGTCATCTGAATATGGCTGCCATAGACTATAAATTAAAATATTCATTTGAAAAGGCTTGAGAACCATGCTCGCATACTGTCTGAACCAAATACAGATAAGGTCGTTGTGAGTGCCACAGGGCTCGCTTTCAGGCCCTATGTAGTTCTCATTTTATGTGCCTCCACTTGGGTTATTATTATTATTATTATTATTATTATTATTATTATTATTATTATTATTATTATGTTAAAGACACTCAGGTTTGTATTTTCTCATATATTTTTTAATAAAAATAGATGAATTTAGAAATTGAATTTATAATAAATGTAATATTGCAGTATGACATGTTAATCTGTCTCTATAGACAAGCTTCACACAAAATGTAGAATTCAAAGTTCTTTACCAGATCTCGAATGTTTTAGCATATCAGGTATATTATATAAAATGTTTTTTTGTTTTTTTTGTACAAAATCCTATACTGTTTCTTGAATTTTGCTACTTGCCAAACCCCCATCCCTTTGTTTTGTGTTGCTACGGCTAATGTAAGCTCTCATCAATGCACACTAAACAAGAAAAGATGCTTCCCCAACCACTTCCGGAAGTTCAAATACAGCACATTGGCTTTTATCTTTGGGGGTAGTCATTTGGCTAATTATTATATATTAAAGCAACAGGCATAGAGGAGGCACACACCTTGAAATAATTATTGTACAATTTGTGTTTAGCAGCCAAGAATCTGGGAGTTACACCTACCAGCTTGAGTTGTGGTCTTTTAGTGGACATGTATAAAAGAGAGCTAAGCAGATTTATGGTGTGTAAATATCAGATAAATGCCCTACTGCCGGTAGTACCTAAAGATCCCTGTTATTATGGCACATTACTTAAAAAGCGGAGGTTGCCCCTTAACACTGGACAGGGACGAGGTCTGGCATTTTTACTACAATAGTAATCAAATAGGAATTTCATTTGGGGATGTAGTTTTGGACCAGTGGAGCATTTTGAAGGATCGCAGTAAGGTCATCTTCAAGCCTGTAACCTGGTCACGCCATTGCACCACTCCTAGCTTGCTATCTCGAGGGGAAATGGATGCTTTTACAGGGATGTGATTTACAGCTTCTGGTGCTCTAAGCCTCATGCCTTTTATGTCTGCTTTCAAATCCATGACTACTGCTGATAAAACAGCATTTTTGTTGTGGAAATGAAAAGGATTCGCTTTAGATCCCAGAGTCCAGAAGCATTTTTTTTTCTTGAATTATCCACAGAATGAAAACAGCCTTTTTTTCTGCTTGATTTTAAGTTAGTAAACACCTCAAAATCTCAGTTAAGACTCTGGAAAAACAACAAAAACTAAGTACCACCAACAAGTTTCTACTGCTAATCGCAATGTCTATGAAAACTTCTGCTTTGGTTTTAACAATGTTCAACATCGAAATTCAAAATATTTTATAGAAAGGGGAGTGTTAATTCAGTCTATCTATCTATCTATCTATCTATCTATCTATCTATCTATCTATCTATCTATCTATCTATCTGTCTGTCTGTCTGCCTTTTTTGCAATTAAAATGACTATTTCATTGATGTTCCTTATAAACAAACGTGTCAAAAAAATTTGTGTAAACAAAAATTACCATATTCCTATAAAATTTCTGATATTTCTATGAAACTTCTCCTTGGTATTACTCTCATTATTACAATAATTTGGCAAAACAAAAGTTGCTCTAAAACAGACACTGAAAAAATTAATTAGACCGTATTAGGCTTGGAACATCTAGTTTTGCTTGTGTTTACACATGTATAATAAATCACAAACTTACTACTGTACAAATATATCACTCTGTAAACTGCGTAAGTGCTTATAAACGAGCCTATTATACACAAGCACTGGTAATGCAGACATATGTTAGTCGTCATTCAACACTACATATGAAGTTACATAATACATAATGTAGAAACATTTTTATATACATCCTTTTCAACATTTAAATAAAACCAGAATTGCAGCGTGTGTGTTAAGGAAGAAAATTAGTTTAAAACCTAAAACTTGACTTTTGAATATTAAATCATTATGCCCTTTTGAAAAAAGTTAGCACACTTAACAACAAAATAAACTTATTATGGAAATAATATATTTATATATTATTTATAATATATTATAATAGATTTATACTTACGTGCAAACTAAATGTAATGTTTTTGGACATTTAATTGTGTGTTAATTGAAATGAAATCAAAATGAACTATAGTTTGCATTTATATTAAATGAAATTAGTTGAACTTTAGTCCTTTTTTTACCCACTTAAGTAGGATGCAAGTATATCCTTATATGGAACTGCATAGTTCTGTTGTCTTAAAATATGGACGTTTAAATATGCTAAATTAAACTAAAATACACTTTAATGTAATTTCTATATAAACTTGTATTTTGAATCACATTTAAATACACTTATATTTGTATTATGTATTTAAATATATTTGTCATTACACATGAATGATATTGTTGCATTTTAGTTTATTTAACATTAACATTAAATGTAATATAAAATAACACTGCAGTTAGATCTATAGATCTAGATCTATATAGATTTAGATTTATTGTCAAGTACTTTACATGCTTTAGTACAGTAGTCAACACATGAAAATAAGTGTACTTTAAAGCAAAATAAAAGATTGTTGAAACGAAGAATGTGTACTCTCATTAAGTACACTTAAGTGGCCTCTTATTTCATTAATATATTATCTGCAAGCACAGATTTAATATGTTATTATTATATATTATATATTGGATAATATATATTTAGTATA